GGGGCGCGCGACGCGGAGCGCGAGGCCCGAAGGCGCAGCCGCGACATCGACGCGCTGCTGGCCCGCGAGCGGCGGGCTGTGCGGCGGCTAGTCAAGATCCTGCTGCTGGGCGCGGGCGAAAGCGGCAAGTCCACGTTCCTCAAGCAGATGCGCATCATCCATGGCCGTGAGTTCGACCAAAAGGCGCTGCTCGAGTTCCGCGACACCATTTTCGATAATATCCTCAAGGTGATGCACCCCCACCCCGCCCTTCACACCTGCGCCAGGTGGGGCGCCCGGACCGGCCATGCCCCCGGCCTTCTGTGCACAGTCCTGGCGCTAGCCCTGCTCCCTTCATAGCCCGCTCCTTGGGCCCGCAGGAGCATCCCCAGCCCACCTAGGCGACCCGGTGCCCCCACGCGTCCTTGGGGGCTGCGCGCCGGGGATGCTCAGCTCTGGGCACCTCAGGGGTGTGATGGACGACCGCTGGGAATTTGTGAATAGAAGTCGTGGCGCTGGGGAAGGCCTCCTTGGATGCGTCCTCGCAGGGTGGTATCTGCCCGCCGCCCCCTTATAGCTGAGTAGGGTGAGGGAGCCTAACTCGCCTTGCCTTCCAGCAAGCTCCGACCAGCCTTGTAGACTGGAGGGCTACTGGCCTCGAGTCTCTCTTTTTAAGCCTTTAGGAGGAAAATGTCAAACATGTACACAAGTAGAGAAAATAGTAGGAGGAGCTGTAACGTACCCCATCCCCCAGCCTCAACAGTGGTCCAATTCGTGCCAATTCTGCGCCGCTGTGCCCCCACCCCAGGACCTCCAGATCTACAAGATGTTGTAGTATATACGTGCTGCTGAAAGATAAAGCCTCCTTGTAAAAAAAATAACTATTTCATTAGGAAACCGAAAAATTAGTAATGATTCCTTAATATCAACAACTATATGGTCAGTGCTCAAATTTCCTATAATTGTTTTGGCATAATTGTTTTGTTTGTTTGAATCTGCATATGGCTGAAATCTTTGCAGTGAGATTGTTCTCCAGGTTCTCTTTCTGTCTCTTACTTGGGAGAGAAACTGTAGCATTGACAAAGTCTGGGTTCCCCTCTCCTGTGAGCCTGTGCTAAAGGGCCTGGAAGAAAGGAAATCTGGAGAAAATTGATGAGGAGGAAAAGTAGAGTCTCCTGCACCTAGACCATGGTATTTTGTTTATTTTTGTCTCTACTCTTTCTTTGGCCCCTCACCACTTTTTCCCAGGTCTTTTTTGGGGAAACCAAGTTAGAGGTATGAGAAAAGTGAGTCTCAAAGCATTGGTGGAGAGAAGTTTGTCATACCAGAAAACCTGCCTAGGGACTAGATTTTATGGTTCCCGAGGGATTTTAAATTTAGCAAAGGGCTGTAGAAACCCATCTGGTACATTTCTTTTCACTTCTACTATAAGGCTGCTCAGCCTAAGGCTGGAGATGAACTGAGTGCTTCTGGCATCTCTGTGATGGAACCCTGGCTCCAGACTTGCAGGCCAGTATTCCCACTTTACGTATTTGTTATTAAAATATTTCACTTAGACATAGCTCTTTCAGGATTGTGAGGGGAAGAAAATCATTTAAATGACAAAACACCACCTCTTTCAAAAGCCTCTCAGTGAGTCAGACCTCTGGCCAAATATTTCATAAACTTTAAAGACTAGGTGCCAGTGTACAATCACTAGGGATTGATTGTGTTTAAAAATTCCCCTCATCTTCTGGGGTAAAGTGCATTTGATTATCTCTCAGAGCCTCCTCTTTAACTTTTTTTGTCAAAGATCCTGATTTTATTTTTGCTGCTTTCCTCGACTACAGATCTATAGATCAGAGAGTTGGCTATCTCCAGTTTCTTTCAACTCAGGAGGTGGGGAAACTATTCAGAAATATAGAATCTTAAATGTAAATCATTAAGATTAAGTTTGTTTTATAAAACTCAGTCTTAACCTTTTCCGGATGCATGTAAATATTAACTTTTACTGACTCTTTTATCAACAAATAAGATTTGTTAACTAGCATTCTATTTTTCTTTATTAATTATAGTTCCACTAAACTCACTACTTAGAAATTCATTTTTCAATTTAAAATCAAAAATCTTTTCATCTCCCTCAAATCTCCCCACCCCCATTTTTATTTGGACAGGTCCTTAAAAGGGACCTTTGTGGTGGCTTTAGTAGTGGACATTTGGTGATACTGTTAAGAATAATATTTGTGGGCTTGGCGCCTGTGGCTGAAGCAGCTAGGG